TTTCTCTTATTTTAAATGAACACAAAAAAACTGAAATGAAAACTTAACTTAAGAAATGTACTCTTTCTATGGTTAAATAAATGTTCAGTGATATTTTCCAAAGATATTTTAATTTTGGCCCATTTTTTTCTCTATATAGTGTTGATTTGGCAACAGGTTTTGTCATGCCGGCATGTGTGGAAGTATTTAAAACAAGTGTGTTACAACTAGCCGTGCGTTAGTTTGTGCCCCCCTCTCCTGCATGATGACAGAATGTTCATTTTTGGGTGAACTATCCCTTTAAGAACAAGCCTGGCTTCCAGAATGATGTTAGTGATGCTGACATGCATGATATGTCTCTACTCTTTACTTAGAGCACACACACACACACACACACACACACACACACAATAAACTCTAAGTGCACTGCAGAATCAGACACAACAACATATTTCACCGTCTCTTCTCTGAGCGAATGTGTCTGCATTAACAGGCCTGCAGGGGGCAGCAGAGACTCCAGTCTTCAGTGTCACATGACCATGAAGAAATACACGCACAAATCATCAATGTTTCATGAGCATCAAATCCTCATATTAGAGTGCAGTAGGATTATTTTTGACAGTGTATGAGAGAGATAGAGGAGAGAAAACGTGTGTGTGTGTGTGAGAGAGAGGAGAGTGAGTGTCTGTGTGTGAGATAGAGATATTGAGTGTATGTGTGAGTATGAGAGAGAGAGCTTGTGTGTGTGAGATATATATATAGATATTAAGTGTATGTGTATGAGTAGCTATATGAGAGAGGGAGAGAGAGAGAGAGTGTGTGTGTATGAGAGAGGGAGCGAGAGAGATTGTGTGTGTGTGTGTGTGTGTGTATGAGCGAGAGGAGAGAAAGTGTTTGTGTGTGTGTGTGTATGAGCGAGAGGAGAGAAAGTGTGTGTGTTAGAGAAAGAGAGAGAGTGAGAGTGTGTGTCAGAGCGAGAGGAGAGAAAGTGTGTGTGAGAGAAAGAGAGGGAGTGTGTTTGTGAAAGAGTGTGTGTGTGTGTCTGTATTTGTGTGTGAGAAAGAGTGTGTGAGAGAGTGTTTGTGTGTGTGTATATGAGAGAGAGAGAGAAAGTGTGTGTATGTGTGTGTGTGCGCGTGATGATTTGCTGCTTAAGAAACATTTATGATTACTATCAGTGTTAAACAAACAGTTGTGCTGCTTTATATTTTTGTGGAAACGACATTTCTCTGAATTATTTTATGTATAAGAACAGAAGTTACCAAATGTATTTTATTACAGTAATTTATTTAAAATAGGAATCTTTTGGGACATTATAAATGTCTTTACTGTCACTTGTTTTTTTGTTTTTTTAAAGTGTGCATCCTTGCTGAATAAAAAGTATTAATTTCTTGTCATTCGTTGCTAAAAATTTGAATCCGTTGGCGACTCGTATTTATTTTTCTTTCCATTTCAGACATATGAGGAATAATGTAGAGCATCTTCGGTTGAAACCGATCTAGATTTATATTTCATTTACATTTACATTCCCCTTAAAGGAAAATGATGTCTCTTTTATTGTGTTTAATATTGAGCATATTGTCTAAAAACGCTCACACAACACACATACAAATACCACCTTAATTAAATATATACATTCTCTTTTACTATCTATTTACAATCACCCTTTACATCGAGCATCTGTCCAGTGTTCAAGTCCATAAGTACGAAAAGATATAAAAATAAAGCTGCCTCTTCTTAGTATTAACAGGGAAATCAGCCCGATCTCATGGAAGTGCGTGTGTATAGCACGCGTTGTGTTTATCGTACAGTTTATACGGCAGACTTATTTTTATGTGCATGTGATACGCAGTTTTCACGTGCACATGTAATACACCACTGAGGACCGTTACATAGTCAACGCGAGCGACGCGCTCCCGTTCAAAGTGGACGCGAAATGCAATACTCGCTCACGCAACGGGCTAGTAGAGTCGCGTGATAGTAGTAGAGTCAGGTCACGTGATATTCAGATCAAAATACGCACATCCGGGGAACTTAACTGTCAATTTTGTCCCCGCCCCCTTTTGGGGGAAAACAAACTAGACTCCCCATAGAGAGCCTAAGCCCCGCCCCTCCGCTTCCGGCTCATGGGACCTTATTTCGGAAAAAATATGAATGGTAGTCAGTGGCGAGAGACAACTTATGTTTTTATTCCGTCTGAACTGTGCCCTCAATTACACATATGATATTTGTCAATTTAAAAGATAATTCTGAAAGTCAAAAACGTCACGGTTTGTCATAAAACAGAGGAGTAACATTTAGTTTTATGTAAAAATCGCTCAATGAACTACATCTCTCGGGAAGCGAAACCACGAGTGAGATCCGCTGCTCGTGTGTGTGCAGTCTGGTACAAAACACTCGTAACGTTACGATTATAACGTAAGACTGTAGAAACAATGACAGACAGCCTCAGTAAAGTTAGCTTCATTCATTGAGAGAAAATGTGCGCCTTTGGGGTTTGTAGTCTTTGTAATTACGTATTTTCACAGTCTTATACCTCAACGGTTTTACATCAAACTGCGACTTTCTTTACTTTAAAATGTGTCTTTTAAATTGACAAATATCGTATGTGTAATTCAGGGCATAATTAAAACGAGATCAAAATATTTGTTGTCTCTCGTCATTGACTACCATTCAATATTTTTCCGAAATACGGTCCCATGGTGGTCGACCGGAAGGGGAGGGACTTAGGCTCTCTATAGACTTCAATACAAAATAACGTCAAAAACCAATGTCCATACACAGCGGACAGGCGTAAATAACTTAAGAAATCACTTATATAAAACATGTCAAGTAATTATATGTCCACCCTGCCTGCCATAGAGCGTGAAAGATACAAACACAAACTTAATTTGGCCAATTTAAAAACATGTCCCTTTATTCTCCCAGCATCAAATTGGTGTAACAACTCCACCCAGTGGCCAGAGGTGTCTCACCCGGACATTTACTTGTACCTCGTCGAGTCACCAGGTAAGCCAGTGAATGATTTTTAGGGTTGGGTATCGAGAATCGAGTATCGATTGGAACCGAGACTAACTTTTCGTTTTTCCCGGAATCGTTCAAAAGTTAAAATTTCGATTACTAATTTCGATATTCACAGTCCGCCGAGCGGAAGAAGAAACCGCTGAACAACACCAACGAAGAAGCGTCTACCGGAAGTGTTGGCATGATCGCGCGAGTCAAACATGAGTAGCTTATGTCGATGATCCAAAGTGTGGCTTCACTTTTCTAAGAATAACGAAATCTCTGCAAAATGCAAAATTTGTGACAAAAGGACTATTTCCTTCAGAAAGACCGTTGGTTAGCAAGGTTAGCTAAACTTTTTTGACCCTGCCTCTTAAAAGAATCGGAATCGAGAATCTTTAGGAACCGGAATCGAAACAAGGAATCAGAATCGGAATCAGAATCGTTCAAATTCAAACGATACCCAACCCTAATGATTTTATTTCGTTTTTAAAGTAAAAAACCTTAATGTATATATTATGAATTTATGATGGCAGGTAGCCTGGTCTAGTTGATTACGGGCATAAAATAAAATGTATCTTTCACGCTCTATGGCAGGCAGGGTGGACATATCCCAAACAGCAAACTGACATTGAATCAACATGGAAACGACGTCTCTCATGACTGATTTTGCTCATCGAATTAACGTTGAACCAACGTCAGACGCGGCATTCTTCAAAGCTAAATGAAAATCGAAAATTGGTTTGCTTTCATAACGTTGAAAAAACGTTGATTTAAAGTTAATTTTCCGTTAGTTTTGAAAGAATGACGCGTCTGGCGTTGGTTCAACGTTAATTCGATGAGCAAAACAATGTCAGATCAACGTTGTTTCGATGTCATATTTCCACGTTGATACAATGTCAGTTTGCTCACTGGGATAATTACTTGACATGGTGTATATAAGTGATTTGGTGTATAGAAGTTATACGGCTGTGTACGGATTTGCCGTTATTTTGTATTGAAGTCTATGGGGAGACTAGTTTGTTTCCCCCAAAAGTGGGCGTGAACCTATTCAGAGACATTCTATGACACAGCGCTGGTTGTGCGTATGGCAACGTAGGCCAAAATGCGGAAGTGAGTTAGCATTTTAGCACTCCCGTTTCCCTCGCTCTAAACTCAGAGATTTTTGAATGGGTTTTTGCTAAATCGCCTGAAATAAGGTCTGTGGTGAACAAAGCCTCTAAATATTTTCACGTATTGATCTATGACATAGAGCACACAGTTATAACCTACTTTATTGTGTCTGCTTGTATTTTTAAAAAACTTTATACAGGCTTCAAAATGTATAAATTTTGGATTAACTTGACAAAACGTGTAAGGGTCACAACTTTGTTGAACACAGATCTTATTTTTTTTGCGATTTTCCAAAAGTCTATGGGGAAAATGCATTGCTTTTCGATCGAGGGAACCCATGCGCCGCCAGCTTCCGAGTTGCCCTACAAAGTGACGTCATCACTTCGGCACATTATAGCTGATTTAACATCGGTGGCAACAGAGATAGACGGTGGTGTGTTCACTTTAGCACTTTTTTGTGCACCCTAGTAAATTTGTCACGGGCACATTGTAGCGTAATTGCGATGAACTGTCATATAAATGAGGATGTATACGTATAAGCTTGCATAATTCTTCTATTGTATTCAAGCCTTCTTCTGTAAACATATACTTGAATTAATGTACAATACTTGCAATGTCGCCCCCTAGTTATAAAAAACTAGGACGACACATATGGCTACGCATCGACGCATAACGTCGGCCAAAGTTTAGCCTTGCGGACGCGTACCGATGCCTTGACTATGTAACAGCTCTAATCCTACCGCAAACGTATAATACACACCACTACTAAATCTACCCATATGCGCGTAAAAATAAATTTCCGCGCATTAATTGCACGATAAACACAAGGCGTGCGATAGAGACGCATTTAGTGTGACGGGTTGGAAATAGTCCGCTGAGTGTGTGTGTGTGTGTAAGTGTTGGTGTTAGGAAGGTCTTCTGTTGCGTTTGGCCCGTCGGGTCGGAGGGAAGCTGATGAACTCGAAGTGTTTGGGTTGGTCTGAGTTGGGGAAGGGGAGAGGGCCTTTGTGGAGGCGTTTGATGAAGTGAACTTCCCGCTGGTTCTCCCTGGTTCTGGAGGCCTTGATGGGACGACCCTTTCTGCTGAAGGCCACGAACCAGCCTTCGTAGCGAGCGTTCTGGAAAGCGGTGTAGTTGTTCTCCAGAACGATCTCTGTGAAGATGCAGTCCCGACCCCTGCCGTTAGCCTGGGATGAAGAGAGAAGAATCGCGGGTTATTATTGCACAGAACATTAAACTCATCGTGAAATCAAACTGGGCGGCTCTTGGAATATTGCAGTTTTATTTTTAATTATTTATGTGTATCAGAATATCTTCCTCTCGTAGCATCTCTTCTCTTCTCTGATGATGTGGGCGGGGCTATAACCTGTCACTCACGTGAGATCAGCCAATAGCAAACCACAACCATTCAATCAAAATCAAGCCCCGCCCACATTTGTTCTTGTTCCAGAAGCGTTTTACTCGGATATACGTCACGACAGAAAAGAAAAGAATATCGCAACTTCCGTTTCACGCCGACTTTCGACTCAAAACAGGCAAACAACTGTGAAATAGAGCCCGACCGGTAAAGGATTTTGAAGGCCGATACCGATACAAATTTTTGTTGGTTTTAAAATCCGATATATCGGCCGATATTATTATTATTTTTTTATTTTAGAAACGTGCAACAAAATATTATCAGATTTCAGATTTGTAGTTAATTATGAGTTTTAACTAAAATAATATGATAATGCATAACTGGTTCTCTCTGCCCGACTCTGGCTGGATCAGCGGGACGGTGTAGAGTGCCCTCTGGTGGACAAACTATACAACTCCAACACTCATGACATGGTTGAAGCGTGATTCGTCCGTTTTTATTTTATTTTTGAAATATTCATTTATCGGCCATTATAACTGTCCATACCGATATTTTAGAAAAGGCCTAATATCGGCCGATAATATCGGCCTGCCGGTATATCGGTCTGGCTCTACTTTGAAATTAGTGTTAATCCAGCTTTTAATGTTGTTTATGTGTCTATGTGGTTTATTAAGACAAATCATATGTAAATTCATAAGTGGACTGAGTATTTTCTGCTTAAAACTGCAGTGAAACAAAGACAGTCTCAAAAACACGCTTTTGTTTCTGACGTCACAAACCACCTTGTAACCAATCAGATCAACGTGTGATCGTCAACCAGTGGATCTCTGAGTGAGTGGAGGCAGGGCTCATTTGCATATTCATATAACCGTGCATACTAAATGAGGTAAGGGTGTCGAGTTACATTCAAGATATTTAAAGGGACGAATATGTTTTTTACAAGGATTTTTTTAAACGTCATTTTGGAGATCAAAGATGAGTTTTAAGAGATACAACTATTGACTACAGGGGCACTTTAAGTGCGAATTGACTGGAACTGTTGAAGTTGCAATTTAGTACATTTAAAATATATTATATATTAATAACACACTACAGTTGAAAGTATTTCACATGTGGACTTCCTTAAATAGTCGACTTCTTTAGAGCATTAAAACATTATTTAATTGTCTTTTCATTCGACATTTTTTAAGTTCAAGTTCCTTAAGTGTGAAAGGAAACATTTGCATGTATAGATTTTTTTTATATGCTTATTTTTTGGACTTCACACTGACCTATACGGATAAATACGACGTTTATGTTTATTATCTCAGTTGAACAGCATGTGACCTCTGTTCCTGGAGAATAAACCAGCTGTTATTATTTAAATGACAGACTTTGTTTCATAACTCCGAAAGGAATTGAAAGTGCCTGTATCTGATCTGACGTGATCTCCAGCATTGTTCGAGTCCTCGTCTCTCAACACGCTCCGGCCCGATGCTCTCACTGTCTCCATCTGTCCCAGCACTTCATCTCATGGCAAACTCACAGCGCTGAAGACATGTTTTCCACTTCCGTGAAGGAAGAAGTGCTTGACATCTGACCATGTGCTTGTGTGAAAGAGGTTTCCACCACACCCAGGCCTGGTCTAGTCTCGGGCAGTGTATCTACACGTCCCATCCCGACGGTTAAACAGCCAGGGCTTTTAAATATGGAAATAACTCTTTTTGTCTTTCGCAGGAGCGACTTCCCAGCAAACACAGAACGTTCCCCTAACGTTCCCGAATGGTCTGATGAGGATATTTTTTTGGGAACCAAACAAGAACGTTATAGGAACGTTCCATGTAGGTTATTTTTAGGTTCCATTTTTATAACGTAAGGAGAATGTTCCGGGAACGTTCCCTTAACCTTAAGGGAAAGTTCTAGGAACGTTCTGGGAACCAAAAGCTAACGTTCCCAGAACCTAAATTTGTTTGCTGGGTTAAGGGGAGCAGATTTCGGTTTTAACCCACTGGTGCTCTTCTGTCGTTTTTGACTGAAATTATTTGCATTTTGTTTGTTTCTAAATGAACTTTTTTACTTCATTTAGAATGGTGTGAAACTAAGTAAAGCTAAGTGAATGTGAACACACAACTATGTGAACACACACACACACACAAAAATCATAGATATGATTCGAACAGGTTAAATGGTCACATCGTGCTCATCGCAGTCAGAAATGAGCGCATTGGAAATGAATGAGACGAATTTCCTCTAGTGGAAGCGTTTGGTACTGCAGCCAAACAAAATTTTAATAACAGCTCATATTTTGAGATATCAGGCTCAAATTTGGAACACAACTTGTTTCGATTTATGGCTTTGATTTGTTTGCGGTTTTAGATTAAATGTGATTTCGAAAATATATATGTCATGTCAAAATTTAAAATAGTATTTTTGTTCATTTTTTCATAAAACGTGTAATTCTGCTACTTTTTAAGTTCACTTGTCCTCTTAGAAAAGAGATTTTAGAAATTAATTTGCAGGTCTTTATGCTCAAAAAGTGAATAAATGGATTACAATATATGAATTAAATACAACATGAATTAAACAAATACAATATGAAATTAAAAATTAAATAAATTAATTAATAAATTAAATACATGGATTTAATACAAAGTAAATATAATTTAGTATAAAAAAAATCACTAAAAATACTAAATATTAAATAAAGTGTTTTGTTCTACCCTCATATTTAAAATATTAAAAAATATGAATATTTTCCACATATTTTTATGTTTTAATTGAACTTGTAGAGTCATTAACCTCAGGTCATTTTGACCGGAGAATCTGTTTTGTTTTTTTAATCAACTTGCCATCTAGTGGCAAGAGTCATGAAACATCATGTTATATTATTATTTTTCCACAAGAGGTCGGCAAAGACACCCAAAGTAAGATATTTTAAGCTGAATTAAAAGCGTTATGCATGGAATTGTGAGTTATTTTTAGTTGAAAGAATGTCAGGAATGTGCTGAAATGACTAAATTACAATTTATTTATTATTTATTGATCAAATCTAGTAATTTAAAGGTAAATAAAATGACATTAATAAAATAGAAAACATAAAAATGAAATAAAATAAGCATTCTGGACAAAACAAAAAAACAATAAACAAAAACAAACATTTTGTATAATTTTAGGGCTTCAGGTCATTTTGACCCATGAGGGAAAGATGTGTTACAAAGTGCGAAGGAAGGATGAAGGATAAAAACAGATAACCCTTCTGGACGTCACTTTTACTCACAACTGTATATCCGAGTGAAGCAGCTTCGCAAACAAGAACAAATGTAGGGCGGGGCTTGATTGGGGATTCGATTGGATGGTTGTGGTTTTCTATTGGTCAATCTAATGTTTTAAGTCATGCAACCTAAATATCAAAGATCCATTTTTTTGTGAAGTTCAAAATACACTTGCCCCAACAAAAACGAAACATGCTTTCTAGAGGGATCTCCGCTGGATGATGGATAGCATACGTACCTTGCCCACTAGTTTCCCCCTGCGGTTCATACACAGGTATCTGCCCGTCTCCGCTCCTTTGATCCGAACTCGACTCCCGAAGGTGTCCGTCTCCACATAAAGTCTGGCTGTAATGCAGGACAAGTGCTTTACCAAACTAAATACGGCATAGATCCAGCCATCTGTCAAGCTCGTATAAAACTATACCGAAATCATAATGAAAACACACCAAATTTAGCTCAACATTTTTGAGAGCGGAGTAAAAGTATTTATTTCTACCTGACCTAATGTCACTTTTGATCAATGAAATTAAGATGATTCAGTCCTGTTTCACTTACAAATATCAACAAATATCAACAATTACATTTTTACTATAGTTAAAAAGTTAATTCTTAGTTAAAAGGAATTAGTATTCTAGTAAAAATGGCAATTTTTAATTGCAAACGATTCAATTTCCACTGGTAAAAATGTTTATTCTTGATATCAACAATGATGTCATCACTCTCAGAAATACAAATTCAAGAAACAAGAATGACTCTTGATATGAAGAATTTCATTTCAACTAGAAATTAGAAAACTAGAATTCTTGAGATCTGTAAACAGTAGTTAAATGTCACCATAGGCTATAGCATATGACAAGGCGTTTTAACTTTTAATCATTTCCAGGATATGAATTCTTGATCAACAATTAGGCTACATTTTCACTAGTTAAAATAATAGTTATTGATATCAGGAATTAGATTTCTTCTAGTAACAATGGCAATTTTTGATATCAGAAATCACATTTCAACTAGTAAAAATTGTCATTCTTGATATCAACAATTCAATTTTACACTTGTAAGAACTATATCTTGATATTAACAATCTATATTCCTGGGAATGGCAATAGGCAAGCCGTTTTGACATTTAATCATTCGCAGGATATGAATTATTGATATCAACAACTACATTTTCACATGTTAAAATGATACTAATTGATATCAGGAATTAGATTTCTCCTAATGCTAATTCTTGATATCAACATTTACATTTTCACTAGTGAAATGTCACCATAGGCTTCCATTCAAAACCAATTGTTGATATCAAGAACGGATTTCTTACTAGTTGAAATTACAATTTCACATATCAGAAATACAATTATTACTAGTAAAAACCTTTATTTTTGATATCAAGAATTCAATTGTTACTATAGTTGAAATGTCTTTTCTTGATATCCACACCTGAATTGCTACTAGTAACAATGTTCATTTTTGATATCAATAATTAAATTTTAACTAGAGACAATTTTAATTTCTGATATCATGAATGTGATTGTTACTAGTAAGAAAGCCATTTTAGATATATACATTTTCAGATATCAAAAATGATAATTTTTACTAACAATCAAATTGTTGATATCAAGAATAGACATTTCAACTAGTGACAATTTAATTATTGATATCACACTGTAAAAATATTTTCAAGATTTGTTATCACAACATATTTTTTTATTTGTCAAAACAACTTTATAATAATTTATCTATTTGAGAGAACTTATTATTTTGAGTTTCTGATGCTTAAATTAATCTACTTCATTGTATTAACTCACTTTTTCCAGTTCAATCAATTTAAAATTTTAAGGCAACCAGGTTACTTACTTTTTTAAGTTAAACCAACAGTATTTTTTTCAGTGTAGTAATCACAACATTTTTTCTTTTGTCAAATTAACTTAAATAATTTACTTAGTTCAGATAACATATAATTTTGAGTTTGTGATGGTTAAATTAATCTCCTTCATTGTATTAACTCACTTTTTCCAGTTCAATGAACTTAAAATTTTAAGGCAACCAGGTTACTTACTTTTTTAAGTTAAACCATCAATATTTTTTTACAGTGCAGGAATTCACAATTTTTTCTAATGTAATTATTGATATCAAAAATTATATTTCTACTAGTAAAAAATCAATTCTTGATATCAACTATTTATTTTGAGTGGCAGCCCACATGGTGACATTTCACTAGTGAAAATACAATTACAGACAGGCTACCTATCAGCAATTAAATTGTTGATATCAAGAATGTAATTGTTGATATCAAGAATTCATATCCTGGAAATGAATAAAAGCTAAAACGGCTCGCCATATTTTTCAGGATTTCAGGTAGGCCTATTAAGTTCAAAAGCATAGTGCATTATCATGATGTATGACTCTCACAAGTCAAATCAGTCTCATTTCCCTTTGCTGTTTGAAGCAAATTATCACATCCTAATCAACACAAAGGGAAACGATTAAGCAAACAAATGTCTTTTGAAATATATCAGCAAGTCCCTTTTCAGCCAATAAAGCAATCATCCGCGCTATAATCTGCACCGAAACCCCCGTGAGTGAATCACCGGGACGCGGATGAATACTCACCGAAAGCGTTCCCGTCCTCCGCGGTGGCGCTGACTCTGCGGCCCGGGATCTGCACGTGTCTCCCGCTGGTCCTGCTGTACAGCTGGTACACCCGAACCTGCCGCCGGCTCAGCTGGTCCGTCAGCGAGCCCTGTTCCCTCACATACTGCTTAAAATTAGGAGAAGGGTGATTCTTCTCCCCCTTTTCGGTGCAAAGGGAAAATAAGATCACATATATGATCTCTCTCTCTCTTTTTCTCTCTCTATTGCTGGAATAGAAAACCTGTTTCGTTGTTGTAAATGCCAGCAAGAGCATGATCTAACTCTGCAGCCCGGTAGGTTATTTATCGTGCAATTTATACGCAAACAAAAAAAGAGATTTTACGTGCATATTATTTTCGCGTGCATATGATACGCACATATGGCGTGTAATATTCGGAATATATTATATATTATATTCCACACCATTAGGGGTTTAATTACAGCGGATATGCACGTAAAAACCCATTTGTTTTGTTGCGCCTATAAATTGCAAGATAAATACAATTCAGGCCCACTAGATAGGGCTACGCACTTTCATGAGATCGTGTTGCTATAACCGGCTCAACAGAGTTAGATTTGATAAGCTTATCTATTCCAGCTAGGACCCGGGGCCCACTAGAGGGCCTCAGCAAACTTACAATGATTTCAAATGAGTCGCAATAAAGTAGCTAATCAATGGTAAAAAATCGTTAGACATGTAAACTAGCTTCATTTGATTTGCCCCACCAAGAACACAGGAATACAGTTATTAGGCTACAACTTTTGATCGATGTGGAAGCTTGACATTGGCTATAACCTTGCTTAGGCTGAGTATCAAAGTATCACATTTAAACTAAATGTAATTGACATTTGCATGCAGATTAAATGAAATAGCTTATTAGGCCGGTACAAACACAAAATAAAAGGTAATAAACAGCTATTTACCTGCGCGTGACACCACACCACGAAGAAGTGAAAAGAGCTATAAAATAAAACAAAAGTGAGAAAAGCATTATATAATAGATATAATCATTTTGCAATATAAATTAGATTAATGCCTCATAAAAAGTCATTAAAAAATGTAATCGTTCTCCTACGTTACTTTTACGTCAGCAAGGGTTTCTTGTCGAACAAATAGCCTACACATATTTGTATAGGCTTTACAATTATTGAGTTGCTTGAATGATTCTTTGGGGATTAAAACACATTTTCCCCAGAAGCACCAAAACAAAACATTTTCTAAAGAACTCGAAAATAAAGTTGTTGTGTTTTTTGCACATTCTTCTTATAAAGCATCAAACTGTCTCTTAATTTGTAAGATTAAAAATCTAAATATCGCCAAATACTCACATGTACAAGCAGCGCTGATTTATTCCATACATTGTGGAAACGCAAAGTCAAAAGTTTTATCCAGGATTCTCCAGAATGATAATCCAGCTCGCTGTGATCCCCTGATTACATGAACAGAGTCAAATCCATAAATATACACGCGACTTCGGGAGCGCGAGATCTTCACGAGCCCCTCAGACGCGCGTCCTCGCAAACGCACACGCGGATAAATCCCACTGGGAAACACCGATCCACATATAGTCCAGAAGAGTACGGACTTCCATCATATGTTTTGTAGCAATGCGAACATGTGATTGTAAGGGTGCAGTGTGGTCTTGGCACTGTCACTTGTGCGTCTGGATCATTCACTGCGCCACAGGGATAGACGTCAAGATCCCTCCCTTTCCCCCTTTACAGACTCAAAAAAATCCTCGAGCCTTGTTAGATGCACACCTGGAGGTGTTTCTAAATCAATGTGACCATCCACAAGCCTCTCCTCTCCTGATGTCTCCCAGTTTTACCCAACGGATGATTAATCTCTCCAAAAGAACTGTGATGTATTCAGATCATCCTCTGTATTTAAAGCTTTGAGCTTCTCCAGAAAGGGGTGTGTGTGTGTGTGTGTGTGTTGGGGCCCATCTCAGTGTTGGTCTATCCCCATGAAGGGGCCGCGGCTCACACCTTTTGCTAACCTGGCGGCTCTAATGAGATAACAATGGTGTCCTTTAATCACAGGCCTCCAGCGGGCTTTTGTTCACTCCTGCAGAATCCACATCAAGCACTAACGATATAACGCCAACAGGATGCTCGCTTTCCCACGCACAGCTCACTCGCATCGGGGCAATTAGTGCTGTCTTGCAAGTGTGGCCACTTGGTTCAACTTTTTCCACACCTAGAAGAGTGAAACTCAATGATTTCATGGTTCCTGGATCAAAACCTAAATTATTGGTGAATAACTGATGATGAAGCACCAAACCCTGATATAAACTCAAACATGATTGATTGATCGGATTGGAAAGGTGATCCAGGAACATGTTGCACATCTGGAAATCACTTTCACCGGATATATACTGTAAATCAGTGTACTCAGACCCAACACAATGCCAAACCCTATATATTTATTGTCAAATCATGCATTTTGTCTCACAACTTGCCCATGTTGGCATAATTTGCCAATATGGGTTAACACATGAAAAATACTGTGAAAAAGTTTGGTTGGATGAACCAAAATCCAAGTTTGGGCCACAATATGCTGACGAATGTCTTTTCTTTTCAACACATGATATGGAAATCATTCCCTTCTCTTTTAAAAGTCAATATCCTTGTTGCTGTCCTAGTTGCATATAATGGATTTTATTTATTTTCATAACTATATGCAATCTGGATCATGACCCAGAACCACCTTTATTTAAAAAAAAGGTGTACAGAATTGCAGAGACGGCCATTGTTTTGCTCAGTTTATTAATGGTCTCGCTTGTCGAATTGATTTAACCCTTATGCTGCATTAGGGACATTTTTGGTCTTTTGCAGTTTAATTTCTTTGACCATTTTGGCTGTTTTAATGCAAATGGTATGAAATTTGGCAAAATTGTGACTTTTTGGATACATGTAAAAAATGTGATCCCATTTTGCAAAATATGTATAACACACACTGTGTAGATCAAATAGTAACACTCAGCACCATAAAGACCAAAAATGGCCCATTGAAACCCATTAAAACGTTGTTTAAATCTGAGGCTGTCAGTAATACATGAAACATGATTTTTGCACAAACATCCTTTCATTTTGAAGCAAAAGCATTATATTTGCATTATATAGTGTATTCCACCAGATGACGTCACTACATATTTATTCCCTATGGGTGGAAATGCACCTTATTTTAGGCAATAGGCAATGTTTAATAGGTGGCCATTTTTGCTCTCTAACGCGCTAAGTGGGATTTTTTGCAAAGTGGGACTGTGATAATCCAAATCTAAAGTTTTCTCTTTGCATTTAGTTTATTGAAAATAATTGAATTTTTGTGTTTTTTCCTCTTATACAAATCGATGGTTTCGCAAACAAAACTGGTAATTAAAGGGTTAAAATCCTGAAATTGAATACATTTTTGGTAGTTATGATGAGGACTGATGCTGGTTAAAAGATTTAACTTGGTAAAAGTGGAAAATAATAATAATATATAATATTTTAGGCAATGTTTAATATGTGGCCATTTTTGGTCCTTAATGCACTCAACGGTGTTAAAAATCTAATGCAGCACAAGGGTTAAATCTGGTGACAGACGTGGACTTGACTCTTGGCGTTATTGTAAAGTGTTCTCCACCCATCAGTTTGTATTTTGCTAACGACGGGCAGATCAGAAGGGTGTGAATAGTTATTGGCGATAAAGACGAGTGAGACAGGTGTGTGTGTGTGTGTGATGTGAATGTAACCGGAGGACTGAATAGCTCAAGTCTTAACTCTGCATCCACTGATATTTCTATATTTATTTTCATTTTAATTTAATAATAAGCATTTCAAAATGTAACAAATTCGAATTTTATTAAAATGTAGTCCTTTTTTTTTTTCTGGTGTTGCGTGTTTAAGTTGCTCATGGGCAAGTCCAGACATAACTTTGTTTCTGCTCTAGTTTTGGAAGGAGAAATCTGTGGAGTGGATTTTAAGAGACTGAGGATTGGAGCTGAATACATCATCGAATTAGGCAAAATACTGGGATTTACTATTAATATATACCTTATATTTAATATTTACCTCCTGTGGTGTAAATCCAGCTTTTAATATTGTTTATGTGTGTATGTGGTGTTTTTAATATGCTTTAATACACACCATGTGTAAATTCATAAGTCTCCTTAAAACTGCAGTGAACCAAAGACACGCTTTGAAATCGCTGGTGTTTCTGACGTCACAAACCACCTTGTAACCAATCAGATCAACGTGTGATCGTCAACCAGTGGATCTCTGAGCTGAGGGAGTTAGTGGAGGCGGGGCTCATTTGCATATTCATTGAACCGTGTATACTGAATGAGGCGAGGGAGTCGAGTTACATTAACTGGTCGGGTTATTGTGTGTGTGTGCGTCTGTGTGTTTTTGTGTGTGTGATGGGTAGGTTTAGGGGTCAGGTTAGTGTGTGCGTGCGTCTATCTGTGTGTGTGTGTGTGTGTGTGTGTGTGTGGCTCTGTCTGTGTGTGTGATGGGTAGGTTTAGGGGTTGGGTTATTGTGGGTGTGCGTCTGTTTGTTTGTGTGTGTGTGTGTGATGGGTAGATTTAGGGGTCGGGTTAGTGTGTGTGTTTGTGTGTGTGTTTGCATGTCTGTCTGTCTGTCTGTCTGTGTGTGTGTGATGGGTAGGTTTAGGGGTCGGGTTAGTATGTGTGTGTATGTGTGTGTTTGTGCGTGTGTGCATCTATCTGTGTGTGTGAGCGTGCATGTCTGTGTGTGTGTGTGTGTGTGTGTGATGGGTAGGTTTAGGAGTCAGGTTAGTGTAAGGCGATTGAATATACAGTTTGTAAAGTATAAAAACCATTACGTCTGTGGAATGTCCTCATAAAACGTGTGTGTGTGTGTGTGAGTGTGTGTGTGTGCGTGAGAATGCCAAGCATCAGAGGGCTTAAGCCGTGGATCTTCTCCCCAGACCGGATTCCCGTCGGCCCAGTGGGATGCCAAGGGTGTCGGCCACATTTTTCTGGGATCGGGCGGCTCAGAGCAAGAGGGATGTGTGTGTCCTAATGAAACGCCACACGTCTAGCACCCCCGCGACCCTCTCACACTCCTCTCCCTCCCCTGCGAGGTGGCGGTGACATCTGACGGCCTGAAACATGATCTTATTGATTCCCATCTCGAGCTTTGTGATGGAAATAACCCCACCACAGCCCCATCCCAGAATATACACACGGGTATCCCGTTAAATAAAGAGCCGGAGAGTCACAGATGACAAGTGGACGTGAGTGAGATCTTGTTTGGGTTCAGAGCTTCAATGTCAAAGTGCTGACATGTGATGACAGCGCACAGACGTGTTGAGCCATTCGTTTCTGTGTCCCGAACGGCCCTGATCCAACATAAGCAGCCTCTAAAATTAACTGGTTATAAAACATAACACATTAATCCATTTATTGAGTGACTCTAATTGACAATGCATATGTTGTGTGTAAAGAACCACATGTTGTTTGGTCATCCAAGAGCATGTGGGATTTATAGAGTACTTCATTATTTACTTACGTTCATGTCATTTCAGGATTCTGTGAACATGAAAAAAAGGGTTTTTGAACATTCTTCATGCAGATCTTCCTCATAATGACAGGGTCGTAAAAAAAGACCCATCATCATCGTTGATAGTGACCACGATAATTTTTTTTATGTTTAAAACTAGTGCTGTCAAACGATTAATCGCGATTAGTCGCATCCAAAATAAAAGTTTGTGTTTACATAAAATATGTGCACTGTGTATAATAATATAAATACACACACATGCATGTATATTTAAGAAAAAAAATATTATTTATATATAAAATATTTATATATAATATAAATTATATAAATCTATGTACAGTAAATAGATGAAAATATTTCTTAAATATATACAAGCATGTGTGTATTTATATATAAAAAATAATTATACACAGTGCACCCACAAATTATATGCAAACACAAACTTTTATTTTGGATGCGATTAATAGTGATTAATCGTTTGACAGCCCTAATTAAAACACATGCCAAATGTACTATACATGTATATTTATATTAGTTTTCGTATGGCTTTCAAAAACGTTTACACTATTTTCCGAAAACGTGATTTGATCTTGATGTCATGTGGGGTAACCGTCAAATAAAAATTGCTAAAACAATTTTTCGTTATACCTTGAATACTGTTAATTGTATGCATTTTAGTAAATTTATTAAAAACTTTAAAAATGCATTTTGTATTTAAAATCATTTTAAATTATCATGAATTATTAATCCATAAATATGAAGTTTTTGGGAGTTGCACCACATGACATTTAACTACATGAACTAGCCTTGCTGTCATTAAAAGGTCAAATCATCTGATATTTAAAAAAAAATTATTGACCTTGACACAGTGATGAGGGTCTGCAGGGTCTCTATGATAATTTCGATTG